CTAGAAGCCTGATATTTACGGACAAGCTTTAGCAGATCGTCCCCCAGACACTCTCGTTGAAAAACATAAAAGACGTCTATAGAGGTCTTTGGCAGCCAATGAGTTAAACGCCAGGTTGAAGGTCACTTCCACATAAAATCGCCAAATTGAAGACATTTAATGTTAATGCTTCTCCTTCTCCATCAGCTGGAGTTTGTCCTCTCGATCAGGAATGCACCTGTCTGTGTTTGTCACATTTCCTAATCATTAACTTAATGACTGAGAAGCTTTAATGAAGCGGTTCTGGGTGACTCCCCGTCATAAACGACTGATAATCGCCTCCAAACGCAAAAACGATGTGATTAAGTTGTTAAAGGATTCATTAGGAAACGTGATGGATACAGACAAACGTCTCCTGAGTTGATGCACATTTTGCAGCGTACGTTTTCTCATATAAGAAGTCAACCAATCAGCTCAGCCTCTTCTAAAGGCTGTGATTGGCTTGAATTATGCCCCGAATATAAGAAGATAATATATAAGATAAGATCACTGAGAGAGCAGATGGATAAAACTTGAGATTAAACTATTATTGTTTGGTTTTATATTAATAGATTTTGTGTGCTCAGAGCAATTTATATTGGCTCTCTTTGTTTATTATTTGAAAGAAAACGTCTGTCTTATCTCAGAAGTAACGCTTGAAGCATATTTTTACTCAGTTTAGCATATATACATACAAAAATACAAATATAGAGCAGTTTTCAGCAGGAATTCCTCTGAAGACCTGCAACAATTAGTGTAAAAAAAAAAGTTATTAAAGGCAGATGCCAGACCACAATATTAAACAGGACCCCAAAGGACTTTTTACATTTTTTTTAGAGTTATACCTGTTAAATGATGATTTATCCTTTTAATATGATCTTTAATACAAATATTTCTATGATTAAAATCCTGTTAAGTAAAATAATTCCCTTTTTTTCATTTATAGGAAACATATGAGGAAACATTTATCCAAAAAGAAGCAAAGGTTATTTAATCTATATTTTGAATTTTTTTTTAACGAGTCAAACAAATACTTCCATTAAAAGAAATTTGAATTTCTGGTCAGATTTAAGTTTTTCTGAGATATTTTTCAGGGATTAAATATTCATAGAAGCTCATTAAAACAGATTAGAACAGAAAAAATGTGCAGTTAAGGCTAAACAGGATCCCAAGGATTTTTTTTATAGTTATACCTTTTAAATGATTATTTATCCCTTTAATATCATCTTTAATACAAAGATATCTGTGATTAAAATCCTATTAAGTAAAATGATTCCATTTTTTTAATAGGAAAAATATTACAAAAAACATTTACCAAAAAAGGAACGGTTATTATTTATTTAATCTATGTTTTGCACATTTTTTTTAAGAGTCAAACAAATACTTCCATTAAAAGAAATTTGAATTTCTGGTCAGATTCAAGTTTTCTGAGATCTTTTCTTGGTCAGATTCAAGTTTTCTTAGATATTTTTCAGGGATTAAATATTCATAGAAGCTCATTAAAACAGATTAAAACAGAAAAATTGTGCAGTTAAAGCTAAAAAAGGCCGTTTCTGTGCGTTTCCACAGAGCGATCGGGCCACGCTGATCACTTCGACATCGTGGAGCGAGTGGAGATGGGTCAGATGGCCTCCATGTTCTTCAACAAAGGTACGTTTCTGCCTCCAGCCTCTCCCCTGTCTGCAAATAATTCAATTAATTGCCGACGCCATCATCATTAGCCAGGTTTACCATTTATGGCCGCGAGGCTGTGTGGGATAATTCATCAGAGTTTTTTTATTACAGGCTTTTTTGTTCGGTCCTCCATTTGCAAAATAAGGCTGCCGGTGGTTTAATTCCATGTAATTATAAATGGATAAATTGCCTTTGGGGGTAATTACCTGTTTGAGACGCCGTCACTCCTCCGTATGACAAATACCTGAACACGCCGGAGCTAATGGACCTCGAGCTAATTCAGCAGAGAGGAGCTTTCTGTTTTCCTCACTGTTTTCCAGACTTCTACTCGACTTTGTCTTTGCTCGTTAAACCCTAGAGACAAAATGGCCCCCAAAATAGAGGCTTATGAATGCTTATGAAGACCATTAACGCATTTTAAACCTCTTTAAAGACTTGGCACATGTTTAGCATACATAAAAATAAAGACCAAAGTTCTGCTTCAGCCTCCAAAAATAGACTCAGAAATGCTGCCTTACCTTTGCTGTCCTGCTGCTAAAGCTAATGGAAACCAAACCAAAGCTCATTTAGGGAAAAACTAAGTGTTTAAAAGCTTCTGATATCAAAATATCTGATGAAACTGATGTCTCAGATGTTTAGAAAAAACATATAATGCCTGTTTGAACTTTGTAAAGCATGTTTAAGAAGTTTTACCACAAATTTTCCAGGTTTTTTTAATGATTTGGACAGTTTTTAATCTAATTAATCCACATTATGGGTCCAGCTGGAGTTAAAGGGAAGCAGCACAAAGGAAGTCCAGATGTTCAGTTTTAGGTCTTTTAGAGTCGAGAGTTTTTTTAAGCTCTGATTTAGCTCTTCTGATGTCTGTTTGTGGTCCTTTGGCCTTTTTTCTAGTCCCTTTTGCACAGTTTCTAATTTGTCGATTGCTTTCATTCAGTTTCTGACCCACTGTGGGAACTTTGGAAAGGTTTACATGCTGTTTTTGGACCTTTTAGGCTAATTTATGGTCTTTACAGCTTTGAATTTTCTCTTCTGAGCTATTTTTGTGGTCCTTTGGCCTTTTTTATGTTTTAGTAACGTTTTCTTTACCATGTTTGTTTGTGGTTTCATTCAGTTTCTGACCCACTGTGGGTATTTAGATGCTGTTCTTGGCCTTTCTAGGCCCATTTTGGGGCTTTTAAACTCTGTTTTTGTTTTTTTGCTCTGTTTTTGGTCCTCTGAGCTGTGGCCGTTTGGCTTTTTTTGTCCCTTTAGCACATTTTTCTATCCGTTTATACAATTTCTGACCCACTGAGGGAA